TAGAACTCCCTGTCTCCAGGGAAGACATTCATGGGGTCTGTGCAGGAAAGAAGGAACGAATCACAGTAGAAGAACTGAGATCTGCAATGGAGGCCTTCAAGGAAACGTTCTCCAGATCTTCTACAGGGATACTCCTGCTTTCTCTACACAAATGCCCTAAAGCCCAACCAAACATGTCTGCTTCTTGGGCCATCCTTTGTTTGGCTGATGGGAGCTAGAATTACATAGAATCCTATGACTTGAACGGACCTTGGAGATCTTCTAGTCCAGCCTTCTGACCAAGACAGGAGATCCTCTACCATCTCAAATAACTGGCTATCGAATCTTGTCTTGGCAACGTCCAGCATTGGAGCGCTCACAACTCCGACAATTACATCAAGACATCAGTCACAATGCCGTCAACCCACAAATCCGCATCCAGACTTCTACAAGCACTAAAAGTCACTCTTTTCTATGCCGTTGTAACTTGGAACCGTCACTTGTAAGTCGAGGACTAGCCTTGCAATAAGAGAAGAAAACGTTTTTGACAAGACACATCCTGGTTCAAGTTTCCATTAAAATTTGAGTGAAATTCAGCTTTAATTTTTCGCTCATCCTCGTGTTTGACTCATGCCATGCGGTGCTTAAAAAATGAAACTTTTTTCAAGAAAAATCATTTTGTGAGTGATCGTACCACAAATGATCTGGAGTTTGAGGGATCCCTCACTATCTATATTCACTATCTATATTCAAATTTAAATTTTAGCTCCTCCTCCTTGCTTGAGAAGGTTATGCCATTCGGTACATAAAAATATGAAACTTTTTTTCAAGGAAATCACTCCTTGAGTGATCGTATCACGATTGATCTGGAGATTGAGGGATCCCGGCTAGGCTGAGAAAGTTCCAGAACATTCTTTCACTACCTATATTCAAATTTAATTTTTAGCTCCTCCTCCTGCTTAAGAAGATTATGCCATTCGGTGCATTAAAAATGAAACTTCCTTTAAGAAAATCACTCGAGTGATCGTATCACAATTGATCTGGAGATTGAGGCCAAGGATGTTCCAGAATGTTCTTTCATTACCTATATTAAAATTTAAATTTTAGCTCCTCCTCCTTGCTTGAGACAGTTATGCCATCCGGTGCCTAAAAATGAAACTTTTTTCAAGAAAATACTCCTTGAATGATTGCATCACAGTTGATCTGGAGGATGGGGGATCTGGTCTGGGCCAAGGATGTTCCAGAACATTCTTTCACCATCTGTATTCAAATTTAATGTTTAGCTCCTCCTCCTGCTTGAGAAGGTTATGCCATTCAGTGCATTAAAAAATGAAACTTTTTTCAAGAAAACTCACTCCTTGACTGATCGTATCACAGTTGATCTGGAGGATGGGGGATCCGGGCTGGGCCGAGGACATTCCAGAACATTCTTTCACCACCTGTATCAAAGAGATAGAAGACAAAGATAGGTCCTGCTTGTGTCACCACAACCTTGCAAGGCAGACGGGGCTCCGCGCCAGTGGGCGGTTCAACGTCCGCGTGGTGATTTTTAGCATCTACAGCAGTGGTTCTCAACCTTTCTAATGCCGTGACCCCATAATACAGTTCCCCATGTTGTGGTGACCCCCAACACTTATACATCACTGGGTGCCAGGGGCGTGGCCAAAGAAAAGGGGGAAAAAATGGCGGACAGCCTTGTTTGGCGACCCCCATGAAATGGTCGTTCGACCCCAAATAGGGTCCCGACCCACAGGTTGAGAACCACTGATCTACAGAGATATTCAATTCCGGGACTCCCAGTCTTGGTCCGATTCCTTTACCACAACCACAACCACAACACAATAACAAGACAGAAGAACTTACTTAGCTGGAGGTCAATTAACACACCTCCCCCCTTTGGATCACCATTACAGGTAGTCCTCGACTTAATGACCACAACTGGGACCAGAATTTGCTTTGCCAAGCAAAGCAGTTGCTAAGTGAGCAAGTCCAGTTTTACGAAGATTTTTTTTTTTTGCCACAGTTGTTAAGTGAATCACTCAGTCGTTAAGTGAATCCCAGTCCCTCCATTGACTTGGCTTGTGTGAAGCCGTCTAGGAAGGTCACAAACGGTGATCTCGTGACCCTGGGATGCTGCCACCATGGTCAATACAGTTAGTCCTCCACTTACGACCACAACTGAGGCAAACGTTTATGTCGGTAAGCGAGACAGTTGTTAAGGGAGTTTTGCTCTATTTTACAGCCTTTCTTGCCACTGTTGTTAAGCGAACTGCCGCAGTTGTTAGTTATTAAATGAATCCGGGTTGCCACCATTAAGGGAATCGCTGCACTGGTGTAACCGAGTGCAGTGATTCACTTAACAATGGTGAAGGTCGTCAAAGGGGGCAAAACTCACTTGGCAAATGTTTCACTTAGCCAGGGAAATTTTGGGGGCTCAGTTTGCGGTCGTAAGTCGAGGACTGCCTATAGAGAGGAGGTGTGTCTTTTTTTTTTCACCCCCCCCCCAAACGGAAGGAAAGAAGGAAAACAGCAATAAAAGAGGAAGGTAAATTTTTTTTTCAGAATGGTGCAAGAGAGTTTTTGTGTTGAATTGTTCATTTTGTGGTTGCCGGTTGGAGGGCTGGAGAGAAACGAGAGACCACACTCACCCCGTTTTCCTTAAAGTCACAGTCGTCCGGGTTCAAATCCGGAGAATTTGGGCACGTGGTCTCCTTCAAGATCAATTCCAGCTTCTGAAGATCTGGATTCGAGGGTGCCTACAGACAGACGACCCCAGCAGATTCAAACAAACAAACAGAAACAGTCCTCGCTTAGCGACGCCTCGCTTAGTGACCGTTCCAAATTACAACCGACCTCCCCAGAGCTACTTCTGACGCGTTTCCTAAGTTCCGAAAGAGAGTCACACCTCGCACCCCGCAGTCCTGAGATTGCATTTGGGGTTGCTTGGCAACCGGGCTCACTTCTACAACAGTTGCCGTCACTGGACTGTGTCATTTTTTGTGTGTGTGTGATTTTCGGCCACTTTCCGGGCAAATTGGACTCGTTTAACGACCGTGGCATTCGCTTAACGGCCGCTGCACACACACACACACACACAAAAGCAATAACCCACTTCATCACCTTCCCCCACAACAGAGCTTAACTGACTCGCTCAACGACCTTCCCCCCCACACACACACCCCGAGCTCCATTACGGTCGTAAGTCAAGGACTGTCTATAAATTTCAGCAATGCAGATGTTTGAGGCTGGCTCAACAACCAGGGCAGAAAATTTTGCGCATGTGTGTCCCCCAATTTAACAAGGATTCCAAACTTACCCCGTCAGGCTGAGATTTGACTTGCAACAGCCGGAAGGCAGAATCCAGTCCCGAGTTCGAATTATACCGCTCGACAGCCGAGGAAAGGGCATCACGGTCCACGGAGGACTCCCCCTCGGCAGTCCAACCAGGGGTGCTCAGCGCCAGGCCGAGGAGGATCAGCAGGGCCCTGCCCTGTCCGGTCTGCATGGTGGAGACGAGACAAATGATTATCGGTGACTTTCCCCATCCTTTTTATGGGCCGGGCCCGGCCAGCGGTTCCCGGATCGGATTGCTTTGTGATTGGCTGACTCAGCTAAAAGAAAAAAAAAGAAAAAAACCAGTGTGGATTTCCAGAAATGGGTTTTGCTGAGAGGTCGAGCAGGGGACAGATCACGGGGAGGGGAGGGGGGAAAGGTGGGGGGACAGGAAGAGAAGGGAGTGATGGACTTCTGCTTTTTTAGGGGCGGCTAAGAAGGTCTGGAACGAAGCAAAGCGGAAGGGAAGCGGCTTTGGGGATGGAGACCTCTGTAGTTCCCATCTCACAGGTCTGGGTTTCTTTCTTTCTTTCTTTCTTTCTTTCTTTCTTTCTTTCTTTCTTTCTTTCTTTCTTTCTTTCTTTCTTTCTTTCTTTCTTTCTTTCCCTTTCCTTCTTTTTTTTCTTTCCTTTCTCTTTCCGTCCTTCCTTTCTGACTCTTTTTCTCCCTTTCCCTTCCCTTCTTTCTTTTTTCTTTTCTTTCTGTTCTTTCTCCTTTACTTCTTCCTTTTTTCTCTTTCCTTCTCTTTCTTTCTTTGTTTCCTTCCTTCCTTTCTCTTTTTCTCCCTTTCCCCTCTTTCTTTTTCTTTTCTTCTGTTTCTTTTCCTCTCTTTCTGTTCTTTCTCTCCCTTTCCTTCTCTTTCTTTTTCTTTTTCCTTCTTTCTTTCTTTCTGTTTCCTTCCTTCCTTTCTGAGTTTTTCCCCTTTCCCTTCCCTTCCTTCCTTCCTTTCTTCTTTCTTTCTTTCTTTCTTTCTTTCTTTCCCTCTTTCTGTTCTTTCTCCCTCTTTCCCTTTCCTTCTCTTTTTTCTTTCTTCCTTTCTTTGTTTCCTTCCTTCCTTTCTCTTTTTCTCCCTTTCCCTTCCCCTTTTCTTTCTTTCTTTCCTTCCTTCTTTCTTTCTTTTCTGTTTCTTTCTCTCTGTTCTTTTTCCCTTTCTTTCCTTTTTCTCTTTTTCCTTCCTTCCTTTCTATTTTTCTCCCTTTCCCTTCCCTTTCTTTCTTTCTTTCTTTCCTTCTTTCCTTCCTTCCTCCCTCTTTCTTTCTCTCTCCTTTTCTTTCTCTCCGTTTCATTCTCTTTCTTTTTTCTTTCCTTCTCTCCTTTTTCTTTCCATTTCTTTCTTTCCTTCTCTATCCCTTTCTTTCCCTCCCTCTCAATTTCTTTCTTTTTCTTTCTTTCTCTCTTTCTTTCCTCTCTCTTTCCTTCCCTCCCTTTCTTTCTTCCCCTTTCTTTCTGTCTCCTGCTTTCTTTCCCCCTCTCTCTCGGTGTTCTTTCTTTCTTTCTTTCTTTCTCTCTCTCTCTCTCTCTCTCTTTCTTACTTTTCATTTTCCCCTTTCCTTCCGTTTATCTTTCTTTCTGATCTTGGTGGGGTGGGGGGGTTAGAGTACAGGGATGCCGGTTGCCTGCCCTTTGGGCAGTTCAAGTCTCACCAGCTCAAGGTAAAATGAGGAGCCAGTTTATTTGGGGGGGGGGCAACGTGCCGACTCTGCAAACCGCTTAGAGAGGGCTGTAAAAAGGACGATGAAGCGGCCTATAAGTCTAAAGTGCTACTGCTCTCTTTACCCTCCAAAGCGTTTCCTTCCCTCCAGAGTAAAATAAAACGGACGTTTTCAACCACCGTGGTCCAAAGGAGATTTTTATTATGCAATTCTGCACGTCTCAAAAAGGAGAAGTAAAAAAGAAAAGAAAAAAAGCCGTGTCATTTGTCAGATGCAATCGAAGCTGTCAGATCTTTCAAGAGGAGAAGGATTATTTTATGTCGGTTTCGAGGTGAAGGGGAGCCCGAAAAGTAGCGGGGGACGTTGGGCGCTCCTCCTCCAGCGTCTTCGGGAGATCCGCTTCAGCTAAATCGAGAAGATTCCATCAGATCAACCAGGAGAATCCCAGTCGGGCCCTCTCTTCAAATCTCTGCCAAGCTGAAATTTCCCTCAGTTGGCCATTTTGTGATGGGGGGGGGGGAACTTCAGCTCCCAGAATTCCTCAGCCAGGCATGCTCTCTCGGGAATTCTGGGAGTTGAAGTCCCCGCATCTTCAGGTGGCCAATTTAGGGAAACTGTGCTGTATAGTACACAGCCAGAAATCACGTCTCTAAATCAAAGTTGTTTTAAAGCCTTGGTCTCTTTAAGAGGGGTGGACTTCAACTCCCAAGATTCATGCTGGCTGGGGGATTCTGGGAGCTGACGTTTGCGGCTCTTGGAGCATACTCTCTGAGGAATTCTAGGAGTTGAAGTCCCCGTGTCTTAAAGTGGCCAGTTTAGGGACACTCTGCTGCACAGTACACAACCACAAATCACATATCTAAACCAGTGTTGCTGTTTTTTATACCTTGGTCTCTTTCAGAGGGGTGGATTCTGGGAGTGGAAGCCCTCCCCTCTTAAAGCAGGCTGGCTGGGGAATTCTGGGAGTTGAAGTCCACCCTTCTTAAAGCATGCTGGCTGGGGAATTCTGGGAGTCTGCACATTTTAAAGTGGCCAACTCCCAGAATTCCCCATCCGGCATGCTTTAATACAATGCAATGCAATACAATACAATACAATACTTACATTTGATTGCACTGTATTGTATTCTATTGCTTTGCATTTCATAGTATAATATTTTATTGTATTGCATTGCATTGCATAATATTGCTTTCAATTACATTGTATTGTATTGTACAGTATTGTAGTATTGTATCATATTGTATTGTGTTGTATCATGTTGTAGTGTATTGTATTGCATTGTATTGTACTGTATTGTATCATATTGTAGTGTATTGTATTGTATCAGTTTGATTGTATTGTATTGCATTGCATTTAATTGTATTCTCTTCTATTCTATTGCATTTCATTTCATAGTATAGTATTTTATTGTATTGCATTGCATAATATTGCTTTCAATTACATTGTATTGTATTATATCGCATTTGATTCTATTGTATTGCATTGCATTCAATTGTATTGTATTGAATTTTATTTTATTGCATTGCATTGCATTTAATAGTATAATATTTTATTGTATTGCATTGTATTGCATTTCATTGCATTGTATTGTATTGTATTGCATTGCATTGCATTGTATTGTTATTGTATTGTATTGTATTATAAAGCAATATATAGGTAGTCCTGGACTTAAGAACACAATTGAGCCCAAAATTTCTGTCGTTAAATGAGACATTGATTAAGTGAGTTTTTGCCCCATTTTACGACTCCTCTTCCCACATTTGTTAAGTGAAGCACTGCAGTCGTTCAATTAGTAACCCGGTTGTTAAGTGAATTGGGCTTCCCCCATTGACTTTGCTCATCATAAGGTCGTAAAAGGAGATCACGTGACCCCGGAACACTGCGACCGTCATAACTATGAGTTAGTGGCCAAGTGTCTGGATTCTGATCACGAGACGGTGGGGACACTGCAATAGTCGTAAGTGTGAAAAGTGGTCCCTTTTTTTCAGTGCCATCGTAACTTGGAACGGTCACTCAATGAAACCGTCGTTATGTCGAGGACGACCTGGGATGCTTTGCTAATTGAAGGGCAAGGAACACAGGCGGTCAGAAAAATTACCTCTCGATCCATGTCCTGACATTGGACGCTCACAATCGGCGATTGTTGTGTCGAATAGATTCCGGAACAATCTCGATCCAGCTGCTCAAGACAATCACAAGAGGGGAACACACGAAGGTTTCGATTCACCAACACACACACACACACACACACAGACACACACAAAGAGACAGAGAGAGTCCCTCTCCGAGCAAAGGAGGGCTTTGTGAGGTCGCCACACCCAGAGGGGACAGAAACAGTCCAGATGACCACTGGGTGCCTCAAAGCCAGTTCGGATTCTCCGTCCCTCAGCGAAGGCCTCTTCCTGGCCAGAGGTCATCACACTTCCCAAGCAGCCAGGGACGCTCCTCGGCAGAGACCCACACACACACCCAGGGGAGCCAATAGGAGAGAGCACGGCCTGGACCCCCAGCCCCTCACCTCCTGAAGGCCTTCAGAACAGAATAAGAGAATGGGAAGGGACCTTGGAGGCCATCTAGTCCAACCCCCTGCTCGAGCAGGAGACCTTTACAGAATTACAGAATAACAGAGTTGGAAAGGGCCCTGGAGGTCATCTAGTCCAACCCCCTGGTTGAGCAGGAAACCCTTACAGAATTATAGCATAAGAGAGTTGGAAGGGACCTTGGTGGTCATCTAATCTAACCCCCTGGTTGAGCAGGAAACCCTTACAGAATTATAGCATAAGAGAGTTGGAAGGGACCTTGGTGGTCATCTAGTCTGACCCCCTGCTCAAACAGGAGACCCTTACAGAATTACAGAATAAGAGAGTTGGACGATACCTTGGAGGTCATCTAGTCCAACCCCCTGCTCAAGCACGAGATCCTTACAGAATCATAGAACAGAGTTAGAAGGGACTTGGAGGTCATCTAGTCCAGCTGCCTGCTCAAGCAGGAGACCCTATTTCATCCCAGACAAACGGCTGTCCAATCTTTTCTTGAGAAACCCCCCCCCCGGTGATGGAGCGCTCACAACTTCTGGTGGCAGGCTGTTCCACTGATTCATTGTCCTCCATGTCAGGAAGTTTCTCCTTAGTTCTCTCCTGGGTCGTTTTCCATCCCTGGTTTCTTGTCTTCTGGTGCTTTGGGTGATAGGTGGACCCCCTCCCCTTCTTTGGGGCAGCCCCTCAAATATCGGAAGATGCTGTCATGTCACCCCCTAATCCTTCTTTTCGTTAAAAACTAGGCACCCCCAATTCCTGCAATCATTTTTTTCATAGGTTTTAGCTTCTGGGGTGCCTATTCATTTCTGTTGCTCTTCTCTGCACTCTTTCCGGAGTCCTGACCTCTTGTTTGACGTGGTGGTGAGCAAAACTGGATGCAGTATTCCAAGTGTGGCCTTAGATAGTTAGACATAGATAGTTAGATAGAAATAGATAGATAGAGGTACATAGATAGATAGATAGATAGATAGATAGATAGATAGATAGATAGATAGAGAGCAATAGAGGTATATAAGAGAGATAGATAGATAGATAGATAGATAGAGAGAGAGAGAGAGAGAGAGAGAGAGAGAGAGAGAAAGAAAGAGAGAGAGAGAGAGAGAGAGAGATACCATAGAGAACTAGAGAGAGAAAACTGATAGATGTGGATGGATGAATAGATAAAAAGTGAGAGACATAGATAGAGATAGGGAGCTATAGAGATATACGAGAAAGAGAGAGAGAGAAAGAGAGAGAGAGAGAGAGAGGGAGAGAGAGAGAGAGAGAAATAGAGATATATACCAGAGAGAGAGAGAGAAATGATAGATGTGGATGGATAGATAGACAGACAGAGACATAGATAGATAGAAATAGATAGCTAGAGATATATACAAGAGAGAGAGAGACACACACACACACAGAGAGAAATAGATAGATAGATGTGGATGGATGGATGCATAGATAGACAGGCACACAAGCAGACAGAGAGATACATGGATAGAGAGAACAATAGAGATATATACCATAGAGAGAGCTAGAGAGAGAGAGAGAGAGAGAGAGAAATGATAGATAGATGTGGATGGATAGATAGACAGACAGAGACATAGATTAGTTAGATAGAAATATAGAGATACATAAATAGATACATAGATAGAGAGAACAATAGAGATATATACCAGAGAGAGAGAGAGAGAGAGAGAGAAATGATAGATAGATGCTCTTCTTTGCACTCTTTCCGGAGTCCCAACATCTTGTTTGACGTGGTGGTGATCAAAACTGGAGTGAAATTTGCAGGCGGATCACAGACAGGAACCCCAGAGGGGTCCAGCTGGAGACCCCCCCCCACACACACACCCTTCTAACCTTGCAGGGCCCAGGACGCCCCCCCCCCAACCCCGAGGAAGCCCAGCCAGCCGTGGGGAAAGGCCAGGGTGGGAGGGGGAAGCTCACCCCGTCTTCCTTGTAGTCGCACTGGGTCAGGTTGTGGGTCTGCGAGGAGGGACACACCGTCTCCTTGATGGAGAACTTCAGCCCCTGCGGGCTTGGGCTGGTCGGGTCCTGCGGGAAGCGGAGGGGGGAAAGGGAAGAGGAGACAACATTGAACCCCCCCCCCTCCTGGGAAATGTCCCCCATGTGACAAAGGCTCCATTGAGACAAGGAAAAGGAAGGGAAGGGAAGGAAAAAGAAGAGAAGGGAAGTGGAAAGAAAAAAGAAGAGAGGAAAAGGGAAAGGGAAGAAAGGAAAGGGAAGGGAAAAACAAACAGAGGGGAAGAGGAAAGGAAAGGAGAAAGAGAAAGAGGAAGGGAAAAGAAAGGAAAAGAAAAAGAAAAAAACAGAGTGGAAGGGAAGGGAAGGATCAGAAGGCCGCAAAGGCCCCCCCAGGGCAGGGGAAACCCGACGGCTGGGGGGGAGCAGAAGCCCCCCTCCCCCTGGGGGCCAAGACCCCCCCAGCCCCCCCCCAGGCTCACCCAGTCCGCCTGGGGCTCGGCCTCCAGCAGGCGGAAGGCCCACTCCGAGGGTCTCTGCTGGTTGTAGAGGGCGACGGCCGAGGCCAGGGCCTGCTGCTGGGTCAGGACCCGCATCTGGGGGGCTGCGGTAGCCAAGCCCAGGACCAGCAGAGCCGCCCAAGTGGGGATCATCTTCCTCAGCCGGCTTCTCCGAAGGGGAAACTGAGTCTCGCTGGCCCAGCCTGGAAACGCCACTCGGGGCTGCCCTATTTATGGCCCCTCCCTTCCTCCCTGGGGTGGGGTGGGGGGCCCAGCAGGTGGCTTCCCCCCATGCCCCCCCCAACCCTCCCAGCCCAGGAAATGGGGGTTTGGGGTCCAACCGACCCGAGAGGGGAGGAGGCCGTTGGAGAAGCCCTGTCGACATCCCTCTTGCGCAAGGGACCCTGGGGGGGGGTTTAAGGGGGGTCTCTGGGGGAGGAGGGACCTGGAGGAGGATGGGGGGTTGTCTCTGTTTTGGGGGCACTCCAGCGGGAGGGGGCAGCCAGGTCAGCCCACCAGCGGTGAGAAGCTGAGTTGGAGGGGTTTGGATCAGGTTTATGGTTTTGTTTTTTTGTTTTTTATAAATACATTTTTATTGAAAATTTTTTAAAATTTTACAAAAACAAAACAACCCTTCCCCAAACCTCCCCAACCCTCCCATTCCCTCCCCCGACCTTCCCAGAGCTGAATATAGGCTTAATTAAAATTTCTTCAAAAAATCTTAAAAAAGATATAAACCATGAATAAATCTAAATACATTAATTAAACAAATTATAAAATAATTAACAATATATATATATATATAGAAAAACATAAATACCAAAAGAAAAATACTTAAAAGGAAAAAGAATAAAGAAGAAGAAAAAAGAAAAAGATAAAAGAAAGTATAATAAAAGTAAAAAGTAAAAATAAAAAGAAAGTAAAGTCTATAAAATATTTTAAATTTTAAATATTAAATATAAGTTATTAAAAAACTAAACAATATTTTTTTATATCCAACTTATGTTGTATAAAATCTATCCATTTTTTTCCATACCGCAAAATACTTCTGTTGCGATTGATCCTTCAAAAAAGCCGAAATCTTTGCCATTTCCGCCAAATAAGAAACTTTAAAAAACCATTCTTGCAAAGTAGGCAAAGATTCCTTCTTCCAACATTGCCCTACTAACAACCTTGCGGCTGTAATTAAATTTAACATCAATGTAGTCTCTTTAGTATTACAATCAGTAACAATACCTAACAAAAACAATTGTGGGGTAAATTTTACCCTCCTTCTAAAAATTCTTTGAATATTCCACCATATCTTAATCCAAAAAGCTTTTATATTTTTACACGACCACCAGATATGATAGTAAGTAGCATCCAAACATCCGCATCTCCAACATTTAGGCTGTAAGTCAGGATACATGCGAGACATTTTTTGTGGATCAAGGTGCCATCTATAAAACATTTTGTAAAAATTCTCCCTTAAGTTTTGGGCTTGTGTAAATTTGACATTCCTCACCCAAATAATTTCCCAGGTATCTAATAGAACTGGTTCACCAAAATTTTGTGCCCATTTAATCATACATTCTTCGACTAATTCTGCTTCTGAATCCAATTCTACTAACACCCCATAAATTCTCTTAATGTGAGTTCGTCTTTGATCTTTTATTTGTTTTAACAAGTTTTCATCTTCTCTAAGCAAGCCCACATTACGATCTATCTTCCACCTATCCACTATTTGTCTATACTGAAACCATGAGTAAATAATATTTTCTTGTGTTAAATCTTCCAAAGATTTTAACTGCCAATTTTTACCATCCCATCTAAGTAATTGTGTGTAAGAGACAGTATCCATCTTAACTCCTCTCCTTATCCCTTCTATCGCATGCCATGGTATAGCCCATAATGGAATTTTAAAATCACTTCTATAATATTTCCTCCAAACCCAAAGTAAAGGGATATGGGATTTAAAAACCCTATCAACCTTTTTATTAAAAATTAAATAGGCATGCCATCCAAAAAGTAAATCCCAACCCTCCAAGAGGAGTATTTCTACATTTGTTAAGTTAACCCAATCACTTATTAATGTTAGAACCACAGCATCATAATACAATTTCAAATTCGGTACCTTGAGTCCACCCCTCTCACGAATGTCCTGTATAATTTTAAGTTTTACTCTTGGTTTTTTCCCTGCCCAGATAAATTTGTTAATACCTTTCTGCCATTCATTTAAATTAACCTCATTCTTTAAAATAGGTATCATTTGAAATATAAAAAGAAACTTTGGCAAAACATTCATTTTAATCACCGCAATTCTTCCCAAAAGAGATAATTGCAACTTCTCCCAATTTTTCAAATCTCTTTGTATATTGACCCACAGCCTTTCATAATTATTTTTATACAATTTTGCATTAGAAACAGATACAATAACCCCCAAATATTTTACCTTATTAACAACCTCAAAATCTGTCAACTTAACCAAAGTTTGCTTATCCAAATTAGTCATATTTTTAGGCAATATTTTAGTCTTGTTATTATTAATTTTAAAACCCGAAACCTGTCCATAATAATGTATCAATTGTAATAACTCTATTACAGAATAAGTAGGTTGAGATAAGGTAACCACCAGGTCATCTGCGAAAGCCCTTAGTTTATATTCTTTTTTATTAACTTCTATCCCTTTTATTTGCTGTGATTCTCGAATTTTAATCAACAATATTTCCAAAGTTAAAACAAACAGCAACGGTGACAGAGGACAACCCTGTCTAGTCCCCTTCTCTATTGTGAACACCTCTGACAAACCCCCATTAACTATAAGTTGTGCCGTTTGTTTTTGGTAAATAACACCAAGAGCTTGTAAAATTTTTTCTCCCAAATTCATTTTCTCAATTAGTCTTAACATAAATTGCCAATTCAATTGGTCAAAAGCTTTTTCAGCATCTAAAAATATCAATCCTGCAGAGACTTGATTATTTTTGTCTAAATATTCTAATAAATTAATAATTTGTCTGACATTATTCTTCATATACCTTCCAGTTATAAAACCCGTTTGGTCTGTATGTATAACATGATGCAAAACCCTCATAAGCCTATTAGCTAAAATTTTTGCAAAAATCTTATAATCTACATTTAGGAGAGATATAGGTCTATAATTCTTTGGTAAAGTAAGGTCTTGATCTTCTTTTGGAATTAGAGATATAAAGGCTCTACCCCATGACAGAGGGATCTCTAAACCCTGTAATATGTTATTAAAAAGAGGTTTATGGTTTTTGTTGTGTTTGCCGTTTCTTTGAGTTAACATCTCTCTCTCTCTTTTATCTATTTTTATCTCTCTCTCTCTCTCTCTCTCTCTCTCTCTTAATTTATCATCTCTCTCTATATATGTGTGCGTGTGTGTGTATAATCTATCTAGCTATATTTACCTGTCTACCTGTCTTTCTTTCTGTCTTTCTATCTGTCTGTCTATGTATATATATCTATCTCTCCCTCCCTCTCTCTCTCTCTGTCTGTCCCTCCCTCCCTCCCTTCCTCCATTTACCTATCTACCTCTCTCTCCCCCTCCCTCTCGATCTGTCCATCCATCCATCCATCCATCCATCCATCCATCCATCCACCTACCTACCTACCTACATATCTCTCTCTCTCTCTCTCTCTCTCCATCTATCTAAAGGTTATCTTAATAATGATGATGATGATGATGATGATGATGATGATGATGATGATGAAGTTGGAAGGGACCTTGGAGGTCATCTAGTCCAACCCCCTGCTCAGGCAGGAAACCCTATACCATTTCGGACAAATGGCTATCCAGTCTCTTCTTAAAAACTTCCAGTGTTGGAGCATCCACCGCTTCTGGAGGCAGGTTGTTCCACTGGTGAATTGTTCCAACTGTCAGGAAGTTTCTCCTTAGTTCCAGGCTGCTTCTCTCCTTGATGAGTTTCCATCCGTTGCTTCTTCTGCCTTCAGGCGCTTTGGAAAATAGCTTGATTCCCTCTTCATTGGGGCAGCCCCTCAAATATTGCAGCACTGCTCTCATATCACCCCAATCTTTCTTTTCATTAAACTAGACAGACCCAATTCCAGCATCCATTCCTTGTACATTTTAGCCTCCGGTCCCCTAATCATCTTTGTTGCTCTTCTCTGTACTCTTTTTAGAGCAGTGGTTCTCAACCTGTGGGTCGGGACCCCATTTGGGGTCGAACGACCATTTCACGGGGGTCGCCAAACAAGGCTGTCCACCATTTTTTTCCCCTTTTCTTTGGCCACGCCCCTGGCACCCAGTGATGTATAAGTGGTTGGGGGTCACCACAACATGGGGAACTATATTATGGGGTCGCGGCATTAGAAAGATTGAGAGCCACTGTTTTAGAGTCTCAGCATCTTTTTTACATCGCAGTGACCAAAACTGGATGCAGTATTCCAAGTGTGGCCTTACTAAGGCCTTGTAAAGTAGTATTAACACTTCACGTGATCTTGATTCTATCTCTCTGTTAATGCAGCCCAGCACTCTCTCTCTCTCTCTTTCTCTCTCTCCTCTCTCTCTCTCTCTCTCTCTCTCTCTCTCTCCCCCCCCCCGTCCATCTGTCTTTGTCTGTCTGTCTGTCTCTCCCTCTCTCTCTCTCTCTCTCTCTCTCTCTGTCCATCCATCCATCCATCTAGGAACGGGGACCTTGGACAGAGCTCAATAGTTTAAAGCGGGCAAGGTAAAAGGAAATGGTGGACAAATTAAAGAGTTAAACTCTCCTTTCAGGGGTCTTCAAACGTGGCCCCTTTAGGACTGGTGGACTTCAACTCCCAGAATTCCTCAGCCTACGTGCCCAGCTAAGGAATTCTGGGAGTTGAAGTCCACCAGTTCTAAAAGGGCCACGTTTGAAGACCCCTGGTCTGGATCCAAGCCTGCAGTTTCATCAAAATGGCCGACTGAGGCATTCTGGGCGTTGAAGTCCACCAGTCATAAAAGGGCCAGATTGGAAGACCCCTGAGAGTCTGGATCCAAGCCCGCAGTTTCATCAAAATGGCCGACTGAGGAATTCTGGGAAATGAAGTCCACCAGTCCTAAAAGGGCCAGATTGGGAGACCCCTGAGAGTCTGGATCCAAGCCTGCAGTTTCATCCAAATGGCCGACTGAGGAATCCTGGGAGTTGAAGTCCACCAGTCATCAAAGGGCCAAGTTGGGAGACCCCTGTCTCCTTTTCATCCTTTCTCCCAACTGATTTGCTGCCCTACCGGGACATTCTAATCATCCTTTCCAGTTTTTCAAGATTTATTTCTTTATTC